GCTCTATCAAGAAACAAGAATTAAAACCCAAGAACCACTAATCTGCAATTTTTAAACATGGTAGGTCTCCTGGGGCATATCCTATAGCACCTACAAATGCTATTTTTATTCAGCAGAAATAAGAAAGAAGCTGTTAATAAAATTACCTGTTAGCATAAGTAGAGGCTTTACTTACCAACTTCATTATTCTGTTTCATACATACAACCATAACCATCCCATTATTCCCTTTTATTCTTTATATATTTATTAGATTTTTATCCCATCTTTTCTCCAGACACTCAGGGTAGCTCTTTGGAGGGAAAAGAAACATTATGCAAAGCGCAGAAAGGATGTAAGGAACACTATTAATTTGTTTAATCTTCTCGGTCCATTTCCCCTGTTGATCTATACTTGACACTACCAAAAAATGATCTGTCCCAGATTTGGAATCTCTTGTCACCCTTGTATCCCTCACTAATCCTATCTTTTATCAAAACAAATGAAACACACTTTTATATTTATACTCATCTTTGCCAGATGTTTCATGTATTTGAAACAAACTGCTTTTTCTAAGTAGATGCTACCCAACAGTCACCATTCTCATTCATTTTTGGGTGTTCAAGTGGCCCAAACACTTTTTCTATATCTTTTCTCATTCCATTCCTGTTGCCCAACAGAATAATACTGTACATACTCATATATAAGCCCAACTGCAGAGAAGCTGATTTGTTTTTTTGGTTAAAAATTTGAGGGATAGCTTGTTCACTGAAGGGTTTTTACATGAATATATATGGGTTTCCTGGTCAATGACCAAAATAAAATGACTGACTGTATATATGGGAAATACAGGTACTTTAAAAAAAGTGTTGCTGTACATCCTTGCGAACAAGCTGAATTTTTAGGTATATTTTGGTACCTAAAATTCTTGGCTTATCTGAGAGTATATATGGTAGTTTCCCAAGGATTGCATTCATGAAGAATGTTGAAACATTTTCCCCACAACTCTTGGTTCTTCTATTATCACCATTCAGTGGAGCATAACAGTGGAGCAGTTTTCACCAACATATGGATTCCTATTTTCATACAAACATATAGAACTTAGATGAAACCAATTCACACTTTCTGGAATTACATTGCAAGTGCCACCCAAAACAAATTTCACCTCAAACAAGTTCCTGTTTTTCTGTGTTAACTAGAATCCTATTTTGTAGAGTATCTTATTATTCAGATTAGGTATGCACTTGCTGAAAATCCTGGCAAAATCCAAGCTCTTGTAGTTAAAGTTAATGAAGAAATGCTCTCAGAAAACTGACGGCTTTGTGGGGAAGCCAGATAGAAAAACCAGGAATTCACTTCCAACCTTCTTGGCAAAAGAAACATTGTCATTACCACATGTGGTATCTTTACATAGTATAGGATTTCATACAGCTCCAGTGATGTTCCCTTATTTCTTTGTGGATCTGGATATCTGTCCCTCAAATGCCTATTTGTTGCTTGCTGCCATTTTCATGTTCTTCAAATATCCTCCCTTAACACTCCTATTTACTTCTGCAGAGGAGGATGTGGCTTTCATGTAGGACAGCAACGACAGACTTAGCAGAAAGAGGGTGAGTGATTTGACTCCCTCTGCACTCCTAACCTACCCCAGTTCCAGCACCAGCATTGGCAATGTGATCTTCTGAGTGTTGTCACTGTAAACAAGACAATCCTGTATCACCAACCTGCTTCCCCCCCCCCCCCCCCTTGGCTGACATAGGCTGATTCAAAATAAAAAAAAGAAAAGAAAGAAAAAGCTAACCTATAGCTGGAGAAAGCTTGCCGTTGACACTGGAGGAAATTGAAAATTATATTTTATACCATTTAAAAAACATTAGTTAAAGCACATCCACTGTTCAGAAAAATAGTAGAACTCTTGAAACCAGGCTCTCTATTCTTTCTTCATTGTTTTATGTCCCATATGATTAGCAGATAAATGGGAAACTATCCAAACATATACAGAATACCATATATTAAACTTACCTTAAAAGCATAGCTTTAAGAATAAGCCAAGCAACCTAGATGAATGTTAAAGCAAAGTATTACAAGAGCAATTTACCTGCTGTAAATCTAAATTCTAGTACTATCCAATAAAAGTTGAAATATTCTAACTCCCATTTTTAAAACATTAAAACCACAGAGATTCTGCTCAAATTATAGTGCCCAAATCTAATCCTTGACATAATGTTTAAGTTTTTCAATCTTCCTGTTTCTAATTTTCAGTACTGTAGCTGAAATAAATCCTGTGAAATCCAAATAAAAACTTGAGAGAAGAATATGCTTAAAATACATTTTAAATTTATGTTTAAAATATATTTCACTTGCTATGAAGAGCTTTCAGTTGATTCATCCAGAGGGTCATAGTAATAGGGGCATCCACAAATCTATTCACAAAATACTGCCCACATTTGGGCATGTTTGTTTTCAAACAGTTACCAAGAAAGAACATGTGTCATCTTAAAACTTACATGGATGTAAACAGTTAGTTCCTTTTGTATTTCCTCCTCAGATTGGACTTTCTCTCTTTCTCTCTCTCTCACACACACATCTCCTTGACGAGAGAACCAAGCCAATCTGTTTCCATTTCAAACTTGCAGAATCCTTGTAACCTATTACAGAAAATCTCTTACAGAAAATTACAGAAAAGTATATAAGGGAAATCCACACAGTCTACCTTTCCCAGTATCTACTGGACATCATGCCGTTAGGATGGCATGAATCTCATGATAAGAATCAATGTTTTATAGATGATCATAGGTGGCTTATTGTAAAGAAGAAGCTGTGCAACAGCTAAATGAATGATACCAGCTAAGAAGTACTGAAGATGGCAACCTTTCATTATCAACTTGTTTATTCAACGAGGGCATATAAGATAAATAGATGATAGACTTCTGTGGAAGATGGCTTACTGAAGATGACTCTGCAAAAAAGCGGACTTTTTTAAGAAGCCAGTTAGCAGATCGGCTCCTTTGATCCTCTCTGGGTAAAAGAGAGAGAGATGTGAGATCGCCACAACTGTTTCTCCTTACAGTTGTTCCTCTTCCTCACAAAGACACCACAAGACAGCAATCTCTGGTGGTGGTGGTGGTGGGGAACTTGGAGACGGGGAAATTCGCCATAATTGCTCCAGCCACAAATGGAGCCTTTCAAAGGACACTACATTCATGCACTTCCCTTACTTCCCCATGCCGAAAATTGCTTACTAACTGCTTTAATAAGTTAGACACCTTCAAAAGGACAAGGCTGCAAATACCTGGTGAGTACCTTCAAACCTTAATACAAGAAAATGAAGATTTATTTTTAACTTTTAAGAATTTAAAGTAAACAGCAAAAAGCAAGGTTTTGGCTTTAGAAAGTTTTAAAAAGATTAAGGGTTCAGAAAATGTTGGTTGACTTTTGAATATTAAGACTTTGAAATTATTTTTAAAGAATAAATGCATGTTTGTGGGAAAGAAATTATTATTGTGTTTAGGAATTCCAGTGAGGACTATGATGAGACTTTGAAACAATTATAGAAGCTATGTTATGTCTTTCTGAGAACAGTCTGTCTTCAGGATAAGATATTATAGAACAAGATATACAACAAATTCCACTTGAGCACAATATGAATGAAATTTGGATAAGAACCTGCCATAAGATGCAAAGAGAAAACTATATGAGGTTTTAAAAATTAAGAAGGAAATAAAAAAGACAATCCCAGAGAGTAATGGGAATAATGATTTTTTTTGGATTTACAAAAGAAAATGCTTAAAGTATGGAAGAAATTTGTAATATGGATCAACAAGTACTAGAATGGATTACAGAGAAAGATTGTTCCGTATAAGAAAAAAGAATACAAAGTTGGCTTATTTGACCAGGGTTAAAATGGGACATGTTGTTATTCTGGGTGGTTCTTTTTGGATTTACTAATATTCTGACTGGAAAAATGTGGTGTACTGGATTTGCTTATTTGGTGTTTAAATTTTTTATTTTATAGCAATTTTCTGTATCCTAATTGTTTAGTATCTAAATGCTTATCATCTAATTGTGTGGATTTTTTTTTAAGGAGAAACTAGCTCTTTTTGTTAAGTTAAATTTTAGGCTTTTTTGTATTAGGATGCTGGGATTACTTTATATTTGTGAATAGTTTAGAGCTGAGATATGAAATGTTTACTTGAATGGGATATGCTGTTATTTGGGGTGATTATCCCTGGAATGGTTGGCATTTGGAATGGGTTGTGTATTGGAGTTGGAGTTTTTTTTAATGGAGAAATGGTCTTTCTTTGTAATGCAAAAATACAAAAATAACTAGGTTTGGTTTGAATACTGGGACCTTTTTTAGCTTTTTAAATGGGATTTTGCTTACAGCTAAGAATCAAAATCAGGAAAGTTGAGTTTTAATATTTGTTAATTAATTTTAATATTCTAAAGCTTTGGACTTTTTGATGACAATTGGATATGTTACTTATTTGGTTTGTTTACTACTAAGAGATGGGTTATGGGATGCAGATATTTGTTAATTAAGAGGGTTGAAGAAATTATGAATTTGTTTATATTTGTCATGATGAGAGTGGAAAGTTGCTTTCTTAAAAGGGGGGATTTTTTGCCTTTTTTTCCTTTTTCCTTTTACTTTGTATTATCTTTTATTGTTCTTCTCAAAAATCTTAATAAAATTATTTTTTAAAAAAGATAAATGATAGATACAGATTTGAATTAGGTTTTAATCTGATGGGTGTCCTTAATTTAGATGTATAGTTATTTGATGGATTTTTAATTTTCAAGTTTTAAGTAAAAAAAACATTATTTGTATTTTGAGTGGATCATTTGGTGGGAAATTGGATATAAAGTTAATTAATTAATAATAAATAAAATGTTGAAGAATCTTCATTTCATTTATTAAAGTTCCATTTGTCAATTCATTATTAAATCATTCTGTTCAGCAAAGTAATAATGTCTGAATAAAATATATCTCTGTGCATTTTCTATATGTGCACGTAAGGACTATTCACCACCGTTCCACCTGACTATTATAATCCTCAGTAACAGCTATTTCTTTAACTTCTCCTGCCTTTTGCCATTCACGAACTTTCTGCTCATGCAATATATTTTGCTCCTCCCATTGCTTCTGGTGATTTTGTTCATGCTCCTCTTGCTTAGCAAACTGAAAGCGCTGCAAAAATAGATCTTTAGCATATTCATAGAGCTGCATATCCAGGAAGTTGAGGTCTTCTATGCGCTTGTGTACTGATTCACTGATATCCACATTAGAGGCGCGAGTAATATTATATTGAGTGAAAGGGGAAATGAACTCCAGGTTAAATGTCCTCTCAAAGAGATACTGAGTTTTTCTCTGAAATTCTGTGAGCCCAAAGAAAGCCATGTTCTTCAGATTGGTCTTGGCACTTTGGAGAAGGATCATATTTCTTTTGCCCTCATTCATAAAGGTCAGATTATAGCATCCAACCAGGCTGAGGTCTGCCAACATGCGCACCTGGCGGTTGTTAGCCAGATTGTGGTTACAGTCCATAAATTCCTGTAAAGAGACTCCAGACCAGTCTTCTCCTAGGTAGCACATAGGCAACTCCTCTGGTGTGGGACTTCTGCCATCACACATGTGGAGGGATGTCTTCCATGTTGCACCTCTTTGGACATGCTTCCATTCACTCAAGTAACGTGACACAGGGTCCCTCAGCATTGTGATGTAATAGAAGTTCCTAAAAGAGTTAAGAAAATACATTAAGCCGTGGATGCAATTTTTAAAACATTTCTTCCTTTAGTGGTTTTTGGTGACTTTGCCACTAAAAATCATCGTTAAATTATCATTAAAAATAAGGCATATCAACACTAAAAACAATAGAAAAGCATTGAAAGACCAGAAGGATAGCCCAGCTGGCGAGCGCAGGAGGCGGGGTTTCCGTTGCTTCGCGCCCTTTTCGGGCAAGC